AAATAAAGCTTCTGATCAGTTCGTTCGAAACCGAGAGACAGGTGAGTCAACGGGAATCCACAAGGGTTCGCTCAAAGAAGAGTAATTTCAAAGCTTAATAATATGAAGTATTGAATTCACAGAATCCCATCTGCTAGATATCGATGTAATTTTTTAGGGGCAGTTGATTAAAACATTTTGTAAGATTGCTTAGCGTATCGATGTGAAAACGCAATTCCTGCTGTTTTGTAGTTAAATTGTATAGATTGAAGCAGTGCATGAGGTTCTATGAGGTTTTTACATATCCTCCATACGTTATCAGGCTAGCTGTAAGTATCAGGATTTTGGATCATCTGAGAAAAATTATAAAATCTAAAAATCAGATTGATCTGCGGATATATACGTAGGTTGGGAGCAAGGTCGAATGTTGTTAGGCGTTAGGTCAGGAACAATTTTGTGGTAAACGCAAAATTCCAACTCTGAAATATGAACAGATTGACGTAATTCGATTGATTGTCGATCTGATCGAAAGGCACTTCATGAGGTTCTCTTTGATGTGTGTGTTTCTGGGAAACTTAACGACTTTAATATTTCGAATACAGTGACGATTGGAAACAATACAGTATCTGATAACAGATACAGTCATGATGCTGCTTCAAAGGCGTGATATTTTGGATTGTGCGAGATCTCTCTCTCTCTGTCTCTGTCACATGCCACACGACCTTAAAGTCCTTTTATTTGTGCAGATTTACCACTAACCTAACTTAGTTGTGTCGTCTTAGAGCGCTATTCATCTCAAATCTAAACTCCTGCTAGAGAAGCAACAAACTTGCAAGGGCCCAAAGTTGATTGTGAAGTTGAACTGTGCCCAAATGGGACCTGGCTGTTCTCTGATCATTCATAAAACTAAAAAATTCTCACGAAAAACTCTCCACTAAATTCCGAAAACCCATTGAAATGCAATTCCATTGATTTCAGAATCTGAATGACACGCTAAGAAAGCTGACCACACAACTGCAAGCCAGCGAGAGTAAGAACGCCGATCTGAAGGACGATGTGGATCGTCTGAAACGTGAACTCGCGAAAGCAGAACGAGTCGAAATCGAGTTGAGAAGAAACTTGGAAGAGCAGACACGTATCGCCCGAGAATGTCAACATCTACAAGATCAGGTTAGNAATTTTACTTTGGCGTTGGTGTTTCAGTTGAGTATGGCTCGAAGTGACGCGGCAAGTGCGAACAATCGTAAGCAACAACTCGAGTCGGAGTTGATGAGCGTTCGAACCGAGCTTCGTGACTTCAAACAGCGACTTCACGATGCCACCGGCCGTGTTTCCGATCTAGAGCGCCAACTGCAGGATGCTAACATGAACAAGAATCGCCTCTCAGATCGTGTCGCCGAACTTGACCGAGTTGGTTTTTTAGACTTGAGGCGTTTCCGTCTGAGGATAGCTCTGAGATGATCGCCGCTCAAATCACGTCCAGCATTTGAGAGGCCTCGAATGCTGGAGCATGTCATTTTCGTTTGATTTGAAAACATAGCAGCAGCTCGCTATTGAGAAGGAAGTCTTTAAGAGGCAACACCTCAGACTGAATATGCTTGTCGAGTAGGCACGAAAAATCCAATACTTTTAGACATTCTCAGCATCAAAATTGCGGAATTTCACCGTTCTAAATTTGCTTTCGAACAGAAAATCGTACTCCTCATTCCCTGTTCTCTGGCTTTCCAACTAAGCCAGCACTATCTACTACTTGAGCCGAGATGGAGGTGGTAATGACAGCCCCACGACTAATTTTATGACTGACCATCGGATATCGGCCACACTAATCTCATCAATTCAAGCATTCCCCGAATTCATAAGCCAATCAGAGCACTAGCTGAACTGGAAGAACCTTGTTCTTGGCACCATCAAACCAGATGAGTCTTAATTGCCAATCGCTGAACACTGCAAGGTGCCGAAATGTCGGCTGCTAAATGCTCAAAATCTTGACAGATCAACCACCTTCTCAAGTGTGTTTTTCAGACGATTGCGTCGATGCGCAGCACTGAATCTGATTTACGTCAACAGCTGGCCACAGCGAACTCAGAACGCAAAGCACTACAACAGGAGTTGGATGAACTGAAGAAGCGTATCGCGCAATTTGAGGCAGACAAACGCCGTAGTAATGAGAAAGTTGATGAACTGAAACGAATCCGTATAACTCTGATCAAACGTATTGAAATTGTGAGTCAGCACTCATTTTCAAGTTACAATTTCAACGAGATGGTTGTTTTTTTTTGAGGAGGAGAGAGCGAAATCATAGCAGAGTCCAATGCTGTCAAGCAATTGCTGATCAACTGCGAAACTATGCGGTGTTTAAGAGCTGCCTTAGTGGTGGCGGTGATCGTTGAGTCTCGAGATGTCGGGTGACACCGGCAAATCACGGTGATCAGATCGTTGATCGGTGATCAGTGACACAAAAAAATCTTTCATTAACTAATTCTAGTCCATAGGATTGATTACAATTTAAATAATTCTTGCTAAGAATTGGTGATCTAATTGTAAGTGGCAAAAAGCGGAATTCATACGATCCAATCATCAGTGAATTTCTGA